TGCCGGAGACTCGAAACATTTCGTCGGATATCCTCCTAACATACCAGAAACTGCGGCATTAGTAAACGTCACAATCTCGCGAGTCTGTTACGTAAACCAAGGAGAACTTCATTTCATTGCTTCGGAAAGGCAATTCAGGGTCAGGCTATTACCAAAACGTGAAAGCGATATTTTCAAGTTATGTTCTCCAATCTTATTGCGGATGTATTTTTTTCACGATTTTATGTGTATTTTTATTATTATTATTATTGTGGATAGATTTTGGGTTTTTGGAAAATTAATTTTTATCACATTAGTCTTTTCAAATTGCAGTTTTTATGTTAAAAATTATCAAGAAAATAAAATATTATTTAGAAGAAGTAAATTTTGGTTTAGTCAAACAGTTAAATGCATTAATGCATTTATTTCTTTGATAAAACCAAAATTGCCATAAAAATTTAATTTTGTTTTTCCCTGACATTTCCATAATTCAATAATACATATATTCTTCAAAATATATTCTACAAAATTATTATCATAATTTTAATTGAATTATAATATTTTCTACAATTGTTAACTAAAAATAATTCTTCTTTAAATCAATTATTTTTAATAATTTTTGAAAAAGTTTTTTGCGAATTATCAAATTTGCAAAACAATTATCATATTCAAATAAATATTTAAAATTTTTGAAAATAATTATTGAAGCTTTGCCAAGAAATTTTGAAAATAATTGAATTTTGGAGAGAAATTTTATTATTTCTAAAGATAATTGAAATTTCATTAAAATTATTGAATTTCTGAGAAAGATTTTATTACTTTTGAAAATAATTGAAATTTAAAAAAAATTTTTGAACTATTATAAATTTTTGAATTATTGCAAAGGAATTTATAAAAAATTTGTAAATAAGTGAATTACCGTTAAATTTTTATTATTTATGAAAATAAATCAAATTTTAAAAGATTTTAATTTGAAACATTTTCAAAAAAAAAAAAATTCTAAAAATTCATGTTATAATGCGTTTAATACTCAATTATTATTTAAAATTCTAACTGAAATTCATTTTTAAATCAATTTTTATTAGAAAATTCTACGAGATTACAATTATTTAAGGGCATTTGAACCTTGATGACGTTTCAGTTTGTGCAAAGCATGTGTGACGTCATCAAGTTTCAAATGCCCTTAAATACAAAAATAAATAATTTATTGAATAATTGAATGTTTCTCAAAATTGAATTCTCATAAAGAATGTTATCAACAAATTTTTCAGAATAATTACATTTTTCGAGGAATTCAATTAAAATTGTATTAAAAATAATAATTATAATTCTGCGATGATTTTTATTTTATTTTATGTGAAAATAATTGAAATCCTAAATAGAATATTTTATAATTTATAAAAATAATGAAATGTTTGATTAGAAATTTATCAAAATTTTTTTTAAATAATTGAATTTTTTTGGAAAATTTTATTAAAATAGTAGATATTGAGAATTATTGCAGTATGGAAAGTTTTTGAAAATAATTGAATTTTGGAGAAGAATTTTATTATTTCTAAAGATAATTGAAATTTTAAGAAGAATTTTATGAAATTTTTTGAAAATAATTGAATTTTTGAGAAGAATTTTATTATTTCAAAAGATAATTGAAATTTTAACAAGAATTTTATTACAATTTTTGAAAGTAATTAAATTTCCCAGAAGAATTTTATTACTTTTGAAAATAATTGAAATTTTAACGAGAAAAATTTAAAAAAGTTTTTGAACATAATTGAATTTTTGTGAAGAAATTTATAGAAAATATTTGTAAATAATTGAATTACCCTGAAATTTTTATTATTTATGAAAATAAATAAAATTTTCAATGATTTTAATTTAAAACATTTTCAAAATTCAATTATTTCTAAAAATTCACACTATACTACTTTTAATATTTAATTGTAAATTTATAATCTAAAATTTTACGAGAATTCAATTATTCAAATACAAAAATAAATAATTTATTGAATAATTCGATTAAAATTGTATTAAGGGCATTTGAACCATTATGACGTCACAATTTTAAAACTCATGCTTTGCACACATTGTGACGTCATAATGATTCAAATGCCCTTAAAAATAATAACTAAAATTCTGCAATGAATTTTATTCTTTATAAGAATAATGAAATGTTCTGAGTAGAAATTTATCAAAATTTTTATTTAAATAATTGAATTTTTAAATAATTTTTGAAAATAATTGAATTTTAACAAGCAGTTTATTAAAATTTTTGAATTTCTGAGAAACATTTTATTACTTTTGAAAATAATTGAAATTTAAAAAAAAATTTAAACATAATTTAATTAATGAGAAGAAATTTATTTTAAAAATTAGTAAATAATTAAATTACTGTGATTAGTAAATTTTTTTTAACTAATTACACTTTTCGAGGAATTTGATTAAAATTGTATATTGAAAATAATTGAAATTCTGCGATGAGTTTTATTATTTATTAAGATAATTGAAAACCTATTAAGAATTTTATTATTTATGAAAATAATTGAATTATTGCGAAAAAATTTATAAAAAATTTGTAAATAATAGAATTCCTGTGAAAACATAATTTTTTATAGGTAAAATATTTTTTTGTTTCTCTGTTTCTTTTAATTTAGCCCAAAAACTACTTTTTTCAAGAAACAAGAAAAGAATTTGAAAATTAAAAAAGATTATATGAAAATTTTTCAGTTGTACAAAAAATTGTAAAATTAATAATTTTACTATTTTTTTTTACAACTGAAAATTTTTTCTTTTTTTCCTAAACATTAGTTTGATAGTTTCTTGTTTCTTTTTCGTTAGAATAATTTTATCTTATTCTCAAAATTTTCGAGAATAATAATATAAAAAAATTTTCCATTTCGTGCAGAAAATTGCGCTCACAATTCACTAAGCAATGACATTGAAATTGTGAGTGACAAAATTGGTGGGAAGAAGGAATTTTTTTTTATAATGATATTCACGAAGATTTAATTATATAAATGAGTAAGGAAGATTTTTATCAACTAATTGTTTACAATTTCGGATTACATTTAAAGAGAGTGCACTTAACTTTCTTTTAAAGCGATAAACAAATGCAGAACCTATGTAAATTAGCATTGTACAGTTATAATTTTACTCATTAAGATAATTAAATAATTTTTAATTTTAAGGATTTTTTTTACTCATAATTATTTTTTGTTTTATTTTTATTCAGTGACAAATAATTATTATTAATATATTTCATATTCAACGATATTATATTAATTAGAATACAATACACTGAAAAAAAATTTAGTTGATTCAAATAATTGATTGTCTATTATACCAAATAAATATTTACTTGAATCAAATAATTTTTATTTAAATCAAACAAATTTGAACTAATAATTATTTGAACAAATTGTTTTAATATTTGACGCAAATACTATTTAATTGACTTAAATAATAATTATTTATTTCAAGCAAATATTCATTTGAAAGACAAAGAAAAGAAGAAAATTATTATTATTATTACTATTATTAATATTTGTAATTAATTAACAAATAATTATTGTTTTACCGATTTTTTTAAAACTGATCTTTGTTTAAATAATTTATTTTCATTTATCAAGAAAATGTTGATAATCGCAGAAAATTTGAAATATGAGACGATAAATTTCGTAATTTTACTCAATTTATCATAATTTTTTTCCTAAACAATGCGGGTTTGTTTTGCAAAATCATTATCAATGGTTTGTGACTGATGGTAAAAAATAACGTAACCCATTTACACATCTATGTCTTTTTTAATTATCTATTTGCATAATAGAGGTGATTGCTTACTCCAAGGTTGATAGGTCACTTGACAGACAATTTAATGACACATTTAGAGAAATTACTGGCGAGAAAAAATTTATGGGAAAAAAATTTAACCTTATTTAATTACATAAAAATAGCAATTTTGTTTTTTTTTGTCATCTAACTTTTTGTTTTTACTTTTCTCGTCTACTTTTTTCTCTTTTTTTTAAATGCAATAAATTATTTAAATTTTTTTAATGGCAACTTTTAATTTGTATTTTTTAATATTTTTCAAATATATTTTTACGAGTGTGTTTTAATACTTTTCTACGTGTATTTTTTTCAATATTTTTCAAACATTTTTTTACGATTATTTTTTAATATTTTTCTACGTGTATTTTTAAATATTTTTCAAATATTTTTTTAATACTTTTTTTCGAGTATTTTTCAATATTTTTCTACGTGTATTTTTGAATATTTTTAAATATTTTTTAATTGTTTTGAATCTTTTGATATTGTATTCACTGCATTAAAAATCCTTCTCATGAAAAAGTATTTTTTCTATCAATGTCAATATTTTGTTAATTTTTCGAATTTTAGTTCCGTGACGAAATTGTTTGGTTTACTTTCCGCTTATTAATTTTCATCGTTTTGTGTTTCCAAATGATTTGATTTGTTCAACAATCCATGACGAAGGTTAGAAATTTAACGATTATTTTGGCATAGAAAATTGGATGCTGGATTGTAGATATAGTTGCGAATTGTTCTACTTCGAGATTTTTCTCATCTTCGACACAATTTTTCAAACCTCATCGTTTTAATTTTTCACTAAAGGAAATTTTTTTTTCTTTCCTTGAGAATCTTCTAAATCGTTAAATTTAATATTATTATTTTTTTTTCTTTCTAAATTGTTAAAATAATTTTTTTATTGTTGATAAATAGTGCGTGATTAATCACAATTTGTTAGACAGTAATTATTTTTATTTACAATATAATTTTTTTGATGAAATTATTTATCTCGTTAGAACGTTTCAGAAAACTGTTAGATTTCATTTTGTTTCCCTATTCCCATATATTTATTAAATTATAACAATAAGTTAGTGTTTTCGTTTCTTTCGCCTTTCTTCATTTCTAATTTTTTATCAAAAAATATTTTTTATTAATTATTATTAATTATTAATTATTAATAAATTAATAATTAGTGATATGGAAAAATTATCTCCTCTTACTTGTGACTCGAGGCCATTCTTTTCAGGAACTGGAATAGAATTGACTACTGTTATACACAGAGCCGTCACAAGCACTGTCGTTGAAAGTCTCATTTTTTCGATTCTGTAACAAAAAATTTAATGCAAAAATTAAAAATTTATTAGAAAAAATATTCAGTTAATTAGAAATTTGGGGAATTTTTATTTTGAAATGATATTTTTCAATAATATTTTAAAAGTCGTGGAGAAAAATAATAAATTTTAATAAATAGGATAGAAATTCAAAGTATAGAAAAAAAATAGTTCCAAATTCCAAGTTTAAAATTATGGTAATTTTTTTATCATTAGGCAATTTTTGCTTTTTCTTAAAAAATTTAATTCGAGGATTATAATTATACAGTTGGCAAGTGTGAAAATATTTAACTATAAAATATTTATTGCTGTATACATAACGTCTGACAATATTTCACATAATTAATGTCCTCTTAATGGACGTGTACATAGTCATTCTGATGACTATATATCTTAATTACTCTATTCACTGTCATTACAATATAATTTTTCGAATTTAATACAATTAATATTATTTTTAATTATTAATTATTAATAATATTGTTAATTATTGATTTCGAAAACATATTTTAATACAATTATTATTATTTTTAATTATTAATAATACTGTTAATTATTAATAATTAATAATGTTGAATAGTAATTTTTTTTTTATTGAATGATAAATTTTCATATAGTAGTTTTTGAATGAAATGTGATACTGGAAGTAAGTCATGCAGAAGGGAACCATTTTTTACCTTCAGTAGCTGCTTTACGATTTCTTGAAAAAAAAAGAAAAATAAAGTTGATAAAAAATGGAAAGTTGTTTCTTATGTTACATGTAAGAAAACTTCATGTGATTTATTATTCAAATTTTGAAAAAGAATTAAATAGTGAAAATAGTTTGGATTTTTTTTCAACATCATTTTTTAGAGTGGGGGAAATTTATAATAAATATTGTATAGTATTATATAATATACTATTTTTTATATAATATTATTGATTACATAATAGACAAAAATCGAAATTTTGAAATAGAAACTATGGATTTTAAATCAAGATGATTAGTATTCATTTTGAAAAAATAAATTTTGTTTATGAGTCTAAAGTCCGTTTTCAAAATACGAAAAAAAAATTAAATTCTTTAAATTATTCGTTAGAATGTCGCCTTATTTTTTTTTATTATTTTGTCCAATTATTTTGGTTGAAACCGTTTTTTGAAATTATTTTATAATTATTTTCTAATAAAAAGGCCTAAATATTTTTTTATTATTTATTTCTGTAAATATTTTTTATTCTTGTAATTGAAAAAATGCTTTTTTAATTTTTTGTTTATAAAAGATTGGCGGACTTTAGTCTCTGTTTTTTAAGAGGCAATCGTTTGTAAACTGTTACTAACAATTCTCACTTTTTACGATCACATAGAAATTTATAGAAAATAATAAAAATTACGACTAAACGTCATAGTTCTGTATTATATTGTCTATTTACTTAAAGGAACTTTACAATATTCGGAAAAATTGGAAAAATAATAGACGTGAAATTTTTTTTAAATAACCGCAAAATATCAACGATTACTTGGCAGTAATTGATCTTTACAATTACTGAATGTTTACTATTGCAAGTCATTTTACATCATTTACTCAATTTTTAAATCACATTTTACAATATTACTCGAGTTTCATGAAAATTGTATCATTTTTTTTTCTCTCTTTGTATTATGCAATTTCTTGGTATAATTATTTTTCATGAAATCGTTTATCAAAGTAGATAAATATTTTTGTGCGACTATTTTCAAATATTCGAGAGGGGAAAAAAAGTTCTTTGCGTAATTTCACAAAATCGATTTTAAATTACTGAGGGCGTAAAAATTGTTTAGCATAAAGTAATTTATAAAATGGAACTTAATTTAAAAAGAAGTTTATACATAGTTTGTAACCTTTCTAAAAACCGAAAACGACATTCCTCTAAATTTGCGTCAGTTAATGGTTCTTTTTTTTTTGTTTTACTCAAGAAATTCTTTATCTGCCTGGATGCAATTAGTTTTTGCAACTGTGGATTTTGTTGTTTTTTGTTGAAATTTGTTTATTGGTAATATAAATGCAAATTAAATGAGTAAATAAATAAATGAATAGAAATCGAATAAATAAACAAATGAAATAAACAAATAGAATTTAAATAACTAAATATATAAACAAATGAAATAAATAAACATAATTCAGGTAAATAAACTAATGAAGCAAACAAGTAGAATTCAAAAAAGCAAAAAGAATTCAAATAAACAAATGAAATTAATCAAAAGAATTCGAATAAACAAATGAAATAAACAAATAGAATTCAAATATCTAATTAAATAAAATAGAATTCAAGTAATTAAATTAATGAAGCAAACAAATAGAATTCAAATAAACAAATGGAATATATAAATAGAATTCGAATAAATAAACAAATTAAATAAATAAAAAGAATGAATTCAAGGAATAAGTAAATTAATGAAGCAAATAAATAGTAATTCAAATTAACAAATAAATATAATTCCAATAAATAAGCAAATTAAAAAAACAAATAGATTTTAAATAAACAAATGAATGAAGCAAATAGAATTCAAATAACTAAATGAATAAATAAATGTAATAAATAAATAGAATTCAAGTGAATAAACTAATAAAACAAACAAATAGAATTCAAATAAACAAATATAATTTAAATAAACAAATGAAATAAACAAATAAAGAATTCAATAAATAAATATAATAAATAAATTAACAAATGAAATAAACAAATAAAGAATTCAATAAATAAATATAATAAATAAATAAACTAATTTAAAAACAAATAGTAATTCAAATAAACAAATAAATATAAATCCAATAAATAAACAAATTAAAAAAACAAATAGATTTCAAATAAACAAATGAAATAAATAAATAGAATTTAAATAAACAAATATAATTTAAATAATCAAATAAAGAATTCAATAAATAAATATAATAAATAAATAAACAAACGAAAAAGACAAATAGGATTCAAATAGACGAATTTAAGTCTAATAATTAAACAAATGAAACAAACAAATAAATATAAATTCGAATAATGAAAAGATTTATTAAAATATTTGTTTTTTTTATTATTAAAATATTTTGAAAATTATTTGTAAAGTGTGTTTTAGTTGTTGTTTCGTATCGTGTTCGGAGTGAGGAAACAGAAATGTAGATTTATAACATATGAACACAGACTGGAGCTGAAAACAAGACTTTCAGAGCAACATTCTCTTTCTTAGTAGCACTGTAACTCTGGTTAAAAGTGTCTCGATGTTGGTCTAGAATTTCGGGGTCTCGCATATGAAGCACTTTTAATCGATTATCGTGAGACAGGAAATGTTGCCGAGAAAAAAACCCCTTCGAAAAAAAAGAATTACGAAGATTCGAAGAAAGAAAAAGTAAAAACAATATAAAGAAGATAAAAGTATATGTGTACGTAAATATATGTGTGTAGGGACGGCTCTCCTTTCTCGTGTAAAGATTCACAAACTATCACTTTCGACGTTCAAATCGAAAGTCGAGAATGCCGTTGGCGTTGGCGTCACAACTGTACACGTGAAACTTTTGCTTTGGAGACCGAGACCGATATACTTGAGATTTGCGTACAACCGCATAACGTAACATTTTGTTGTTTCAACGCGAATAACAAAAGGATAAGAGGGAAATTTTAATTTTTCCTCTTCTTTTTGGAAAATATTTGTTAATCTGCGGAAAGAATATAGTGAATCTATTGTTTTATCTTTCTAGGGTTTTTCCTTCTTAGAAATAAATGGAAACTGGAACTTTTTCTTTCTTGGAGAAAAATTGGAACTAAAATTTTTCCTTCTTAGAAAAAGAATTGAAAACTAAAATATTTCTTTCTTAGAAAAAAAAAAAATGGAAACTAATTTTTCTTTCTTGGAAAAAAATTGAAACTCAAATTTTTCCATCTTAGAAAAAAAATGGAAACTGGAACTTTTCTTTCTTGGAGAAAAATTGGAACTAAAATTTTTCCTTCTTAGAAAAAGAATTGAAAACTAAAATATTTCTTTCTTAGAAAAAAAAATGGAAACTAATTTTTCTTTCTTGGAAAAAAATTGAAACTCAAATTTTTCCATCTTAGAAAAAAAATGGAAATCGGAATTTTTCTTTCTTGGAAAAAAATTGAAACTAAAATTTTTCCATCTTAGAAAAAAAAATGGAAACCGGAATTTTTCTTTCTTGGAAAACAATTGAAATTAAAAATTTTTCTCCATAGAAACAAAGATTAAAAACTAAAATATTTCTTTCTTGAAAAAAAAAAATTCCAAATAAAATTTTTCCTTCTTAGAAAAAAATTGAAAACTAAAATATTTCTTTCTTAGAAAAAAAAAAATTGCATCAAACATTTTTCTTTCATAAAAAAAAATTAGAAACTGGAATTTTTCTTTCTTGGAAAACAATTGAAACTAAAATTTTTCCATCTTAGAAAAAGATGGAAACTAGAATTTTCAATTTTTTCTTTCTTGGAAAACAATTGAAATAAAAATTTTTCCTCCTTAGAAAAAAAAATTTAAAACTAAAATATTTCTTTTTTAGAAAAAAAAAGAATGGAAACTGTAATTTTTCTTTCTTGGGAAAAAAATTGAAACCAAAATTTTTCTTTCATGAAAAAAAATTGAAACCTGGAATTTTTCTTTCTTGGAAAAAAATTGGAACTAAAATTTTTCAATCTTAGAAAAGAATTAAAACGAAGATTGTTTAGGCTTAGAAAAAAAAAATGAAAATTTTTCCTTCTTGGAGAAAAATTTGTCTTTCTCAGAGAAAAATAAAGAATAAAATTTTTCTTTCTCAAAAAATAATCTAGAAACAGAGTGTAAAAAAGTTGAACTATAATTTAAAAATTATGATTTATTGAGATAGTTATTGATAATGTTAAATGGATAAAGACGAGAAAAACATGAGTAAAAAATGACCTATTTTCAACTGAGAGCAATTATTAATTTTTTTTCTCATTTTTTGCCAGATAAAAATTCAAAAAAAAAAACTTAAGTGATTCTCAAATGATCATGTG